GATGGTAGAAAGTGGCTGTGGGCATCATATTTTATACCGATTCTAATTAAATTACAAACAACTTTATTCAAACACACTCGTTTACAAGCATTTTTTAAGCGTCATTTGTTTTTAATCTACATTAGGCTTCGGAAGGTTGTTATCTGTTGAGAGGAGCCCGCGAGAAACTCAACAGTTGATCTTTTAAATCTCTGTTAACATTATGTGTATTTATTTAAATGTACCATGTCTAAAAAGACATGACATGGTCGTTAAAAGTCCGTGCGTGTTAATAAAAATTCTATGTAAACTTTCTGTAAGCATATCATTTCAGATACAAATAAAAAGAACCTTCCAAATCGGTTTACAATCGACGGAGTTATGAGGTAACAAATATATATATATATATATATATATATATCTATATATATATATATATATATATATATATAAATAAATATATATATAAATATATATATATATATATAACCGATATAAAGAAACTCCATCTTTTCTAAGTCTTGAAAGTATCAATTTCATTCTAAAATAACATCTATTTATTTAAAACATAAAGATTAAACTTCGATTGATACGCCGTAAACGTTAGACGGGCAGGCATAGACAAAACGATACGGGCGCATTGTTGGCTCCCCGCCCATAGACAAACCGCAGAGCAATAAATACGGTGTCTATGGCCGTTTTTAGACTAAAAACCTCTATTGTGTCGCGTTTATGTCTGAATTTAATTCACGCGACGCTATAAAATGGTTATAGTCCACCTTCGAAGATGATAATGGCATTTTGACGGAGGGAGATTTTGTACAAAAGTCGTTTGCTTGGGCACCTCTGTCGTATTCGTGTTTCTACCGTGAAGCAGTTGTGTTTGCATGGCTGTGTTTCGGTTTAAGGGTGCGATATGGCGTGAATTTATATGGTACAGAGTAACAACATCCGAGTCTCCAGAAATGGCAATGGAATGGTGTGCCCGCCTATCTTAACAGTACGTAGTCGCGGGAAACCAGCGGTGGATGAAACATAAGGATGAACGGCCAATAGGCATCTTGTGGCGAATTAACCAGAAATCGACTACGATGGTTTTCATAAGGGGGGGGGGGGAGAGGAGGTCGGCTTGACCTCCTCCCTGTGTAAACTGTTATGAAACCACAAATTTTCGTCATCCTATCATCCCTCACTGGTGCCCCGCCAGTGTACACCGACAGTGCAGGCGGGGTTACCGTTCAATATTCACCCGTTAAAAAATTAAAAAAAAAAACAATTGTGCGCTTGTATGAAACCTATAGAACATAGTCCACGACAGACAGACAATTTTCATATTTTACATAGAGACCGATTTATACCTATGTGAAGCTATTGTAGAGATTTGCTGCTACGATAAATTAAACCTTATTCCGAAGGTGTTGAGTTTAAATTTGATTGAACACTTCCACGGGGGGTCGAATCGTATGTCTTTAAGCTCTTCACGGTTCAACAAATAGGGGATGACCAGGGGAAAGGTTGAAGGACGTTTACAATTTATTCCTGAGCTAGCGTTTACCCGCGACTTCGTCCGTGTCACCGGAATATGTTCAATCATTTCTCCATCCCATACGTACACGTACATACGTGTATACCAAATTGCATATTACCAATTTCCCCCTGGAAAGTATCATGACCGATTTATTATTTTATTTTTTTATACAACTTAGAATGGCAAACAAGCTGACGGCGCCCACCTGATGGAAAGTGGTAACCGTCGCCTACAGACATGAGCAGTACCATGGACATAACAGAGTATACTGTTTCGCCCATGATACGCCCCATGCGTTGCCATTCCCGAGGACTCAGGTGTTATTCCTCCGTACCCTGTAAATTCACGCCATATCCCACCCTTCAAACCGAAACACAGCCATGCAAACACAACTGCTTTAGGGTTGAAACACGAATGGGACAGAGGTACCCAAGCAAGACTTTTGTACAAAGTCTCCATTCGTCACCATGGACCAACTGACCTGCTTTTATCCTCACCTATCACCCCTCACTGGTGCCCCGCCAGTGTATACCGATAGCGCAGGCGGGGTTACCATTCCATTATCATCCATTAAAAAAAAAACTAGGTAATTTTCATTAATACCGGTTCTACCACATATGAGATAATAGACAATCCTTTTGTTTTAACCTTGAACTCGGCATCATGCAAGCAGGCATACAGACAAATCGAAAACCTATTTATTAAGTAGGTTATTAAAAAGCAAAATAACACCGCTTAGTCGGGGGGAAAGGGATTGTTAGTAATGGAGACTGAGAATCCCATTGCTAGCAATATACCCAACCAGGTCGTCCTCCTCGCGGTTCCCCCTGGAAACTATCATGGTTAATTCCTGATGAATTCATCACGATGGGCTAACTGGCCTGTTTTCATTCTCATCTATCATTGATGGGTGCAAATGGTATGGTAACCCCGCCTGCGCTAACGGAATAAACTGGCGGAGCACCAGTGAAGGGTGACAGATGAGAATAAAAACAGGCCAGTTAGCCCATCATGATTAATTGGGAGAACCGTTCCCCCCATTATAATTTAGGTTGTTATACGAGGTCTGTCCGGAAAGTTCGTATAAAAGTGTTCTGGAATGCGAGAAAGAGGAGTGGGGAGGCCAGGTAAGCGCAGGACCCCTTCCTTATGTCCCTAACAATGCTTCAGTTCTGGTCTGACCGCCGTGCGGTGCGAACTGGCTTGTCACGCCATCTGTGAAGTTACCTCTTAACGAAACCCCGTCGGCATGGAGCCCGCTTCCGTTGAAGAGCAGCGCGTCGTAATCAAGTTTCTCTCGAAACTCGGCAAGAATGGCCGTGAAATTTTTGCCGATCTCAGAACAGTTTATGGGGATGATGCTGTGAAGGAACCAACCGTCCACAAGTGGCTAAAAAGATTCAGAGAGGGCCGAGAAAGCGTTCAAGATGACCCACGTTCAGGACGTCCTTCCACTTCACATTCCGACGAAAACGTGGAAAGAATTCGAACTTGTGTTAATGGGGACCGTCGTTTAACGGTCAGACAGGTGGCTGAAGAGCTTAATTTGGGCAAAACCGTGGTCCACGAAATTCTAAGAAACGAACTTCAAATGAAAAAAATTTGCGCCAAGATCGTTCCGTGAGTTTTTGAGTAAAAATTCCATTACGGTGACCGAACACCCCCCCTATTCGCCGGATTTGGCCCCGTGTGACTTCTTCTTGTTCCCAAAAACCAAATTGGTACTTCGGGGGCGGCATTTGGGGGACATAAATGAGATAAAAAAAGCTACGACGGGGCAGCTGAGAAACCTACAACCAGAGGACTTTCAAGGAGCCTTCTCACAGTGGAAACGGCGTTGGCACAAGTGCATTATGTCACAGGGGGAGTACTTTGAAGGGGATAAAATTGATTTACCTGAATAATTGTAAAATAAAATTTTTAAAAACTTTTATACGTACTTTCCGGACAAACCTCGTATGTGTTATAATGCAATATGCTGTCGGTGTTCCTTTACATAAATAAATAAAGATGAATTCCCTATCGATGGCGAGCCAATTATTCTTAATTTACGAAAAGTAATGATTAAAAAAAAATTGCATTCGAAAGATTACAAAAATATATCAGTTGTCTATGGTACGCAACATTGTATATATGTAGCGTGTGCTGTGACCGCCATATACGCGTATATTCTACAGTGTTATCAACACGCCCCACTTTTTAACGTCTAAACTTGTTGAATAATTAATTTTAATTGCTTAGTCGGAGATAGATGTGCCCCATATTGCAAGGAACAATCTTATCTCGGTTTCATTCACAAATGCTTCTATCTCATATTCGTGGCCATGTATCAGTTACATTGTTGTATTCCTGCATGCATTAATGTCTGAATGGCCATTGATAATAAATTGCTCACCTATCTGCTTACCTAGTAATTCAGTAACCAGCTACCTAACAGGCAACATTTCTCACGCGAATTCCTGTATTTTTCCATGGGAATTATATTTTGCGCCCTGGTCATATTCTTAGAGAGTTGGTCATTATGCTACTGGCCTGACTTCATCATCGCCTATCATCCTTTATCGATGGCGATAGCGCAGACGGAATTACAAAAAATTTCCAAAAAAATCTAGAAGTAGCCAAATCACTGTCCTTTAAATAACATACCTATATAAAAAAACTTACTTAGGTATTTACCCACCTAGGCAGGTATTTAAAAGGTATCTAAATTCACAAACAAATAACCGTTTATCCGTCATGGGTTGACTATGGTTAGGTAACCATAATCAAATTACTGTCCCTTTCACTAGAAACAGAATTAAAAAAAAAAACTTTCAATGCTTTTTCTTTCGAAACATCACATAGACAATATAGGTAGGTGTGCCTATATATTCGTACATCTGAAAAAAAAGGTCAATATTCTCTATGCCATATTCAAGGCCAGATAAAGTTCGCACGACCATAGTGACGTGTACCTATGTTAAAATAACTTTTTTTTTTATGTATGCTTAATTTATTATTTAAAAGTCTAGTAAAAAAAGGCTACAGTTCAATATGCTAGCCGCCATTAAGGTACCTACACAATTAAATAAAATTGCTAGGTACCTCATACATATAAACAAGTAAACGGACAAATTTAATTGTTTACCTACTTAATAGACACTTAGTTCGTTGAACAATAACATAGCTTCGATAGATAACCTAGTAGGTACATAGGCATGTAATTTATTATTATTTATAAATATTCACAATAATTTTCATTTTTCTTTGATTACATTAACAAAAAATAATCCATTGTAACAACTTTTTTTGTAATTTTTACCATAGGTTTTCGACTAATTTCCGTTGACACACAACAAACATTTAAAAAAAAAAAGTTAAAAACTACTAAAAAAAATAAACAATTATTAATTACTATCTGCCAACATTACAATTATTTTTTAATTAAAAACGTATAGACAGATTAATAATTTAAGAACAACAACTTTTTTTTTTTTTCAATTTAAAAACTCACCCAGAACACTGGCAGTTGCTCTCGCAATGTTTACTATTTTCGCTCCACATTTTGGCAAGTTCCAATGCACAAATCAATTAACACAATCACAAGTCCATTTTTCATACAGTCTTTTAAATCTCTCTCAAAGTTATCGCGTGCTTACGACCAGCGCTGAGGGACGCGACCGGCGAAGTCCGGCGAACAACTGACAATTTTGTGACTTGTTTTCAAAACCGTTGTTCCCATCGCTACTCCCGTCACCTCCGTGGTCCTGGAGTGGTAGCTTAGAAAATTTTCTACTACTATGGTAGTTTTTGAAATAACTAAAACTGATTTTTTTTTGTTTTTAAAAATATTTTCGTTTATTTTAGACACAGTAATTATACTGTTTTTTTTTTTTTATAAAAAGAATGTAATATTTTTAAAATTATCACGTTTTAGAATAAACCATTTTGTTTTACGTTTGTGTGTTACTTAAGAACACTTTTTTATTTTAAATTTAATACCAACAAAAAAACTGAAAGTATTATTAATAATATCCTTAAAATAAATACTAATTTATATTTAGTTATATTTTAAAATGATCTTTAATGTATCTGATAGCATTTATATAAGCATTTATTAAAGTCCTGTAAAAAATTAATCAATTTTGTCTAAAAAATAATATTATGTAGCTTTTACTTTTACAGCATCTTAGCTTGTTAATGTAAAACATTAACAACAATTATTTACGACATTTTATATGTGGAATTCTATTAACGTAATCGAAGACAAATCAGTTACATTTGAAACAATACCATTTTTAGAAGATTCTCGATTTAGAGCTGGTAACTAAACATGCGCCGGCGCACAATACAACCCGTCTACCCCACCAGCTAACTAGATCGCATGCCAACATAATACATTTCAGAACTTATCTCGAAGTGCATAAGGGTGAAAACTGTTTAAGAAAGTCATCAATGGAATGTCATACAAAAATCATATGGCCACCCGAATCCTGTTTTAACGCACACATCCTCACACAAACATTGCAATAATAGCTCTTATTATCAACGCATGTAAGTCTGAAATAATTGAAAACTGCCGGCAGGACTTTAATTTTCACACAGTCAATACGGAGTTCAATCATATGGTGGTATTAAGAAGCACCATTAATGAGTTTCGACTTTGTTCTCTTCGACGTAAGATATAACATTCTAAATCAAATTAAAACTAACCTGTGCTATTACAATAGAATGGCAAAGGACCTAAATTTCAAAGCGATCCATTAGAAATCCTTATAACAACACAGATAAGGTAAATAATTAAGGCAAATTTACATTATTGATGGTAAACGTTATGTTTGCAACGGTAAGGTTGTTCCTGAGAATTCCCTTCAAATCATATGGTGGCGTTGTGAAGGAATGCCTTTTTGTCCGCCGACAATTTTCGGTTTTGTCAATAGCAAATGAGGCATTCTATTATATTTCCGTAAATACTCACTGTATCGACTTCTCGGTAACATATAAAAACAGTACTTATTTCGTTAATTTAAATATATTTTACTTACTTTCTTAATATTTGATATAACATTATTTAACTTGTACAGGTAATCAAACAAATAAAGAAAGAATACATAAATTATAAATATCCTAAACGCATTAGCTCAAATCGATTTATTCTTTCAACCGTTAACTGTTCACTGCTGGACATAAGCCTTCCCCATAAGGGAGTTTTGCCAATAGTTGCCACGCTTGGCAGGCGGGTTGGCAACCGCAATTAGGCTTTTAGAGATGTTTTAAGAAGAACGCTGCTGCCCATCCCGCTCAAATCGGTTATAAAGTAATTATATTATCACAATATATCTTACTTTTGCTGATCCTTCGAGCCGGATATGTATATAATACTTTCATGCTAATCTAACTTAATTTAATTTACAATAATAAATTACTAATGATATTTCATTACCATCATGATCAGATAAATCACATATTGTATGAGGAAGTGGTCAGGAGCCTCAGTAATCGGGGTCTGTGACACGAAAAATATAATTTGATGCTGCAAAAGATAAAAGTAAGAATAGAGGCTTTTATCGCTTGGTCTTATCTGTCCAATAAGTGATTTGGCGTGAAGTATTAATATTATTAATCCATACATACAGAAATGTACAATCTATGGCTCAGCTGCGTCTAAACGCCACGTGGTGCACTTGTGGGAATGTGTTGATATTACAGTTCTATTTATACTATTGAGAATATTAAACAAGTTGTCGGCTTATAATCACAGAAACTGTGCCGCCTACTGCCCTCGTGAGTTGACATTACCGGGGACTAAGATATTGCAGCGAGTTTGTGTGTAACAGTGCTGGATTTATCACTGGGCCATATCGGCCAAGGTGGCAAGTTTTATATTTTCCACCGTTAACTGTCCATTGCTGGACATAAGGAGAGCGTTGATATTAGTTGCACGCTTTGCAGGCGGATTGGCAACCGCAGTTAGAGCTTTAGGGAAGTTTAAAGAGGGACGCTGCTGCCCATCCTTCGCCCTCCCTTAGTCACCTCTTAAGACACCCACGGGAACGGAAAGTCCATTATATGCCGGGTGGTGGTTTTGTATGCATAAAATCCTATAAAAAATATAGTTCATAATAATAAGGATATTTTCAAAGTCTAACTACGGTTGCCAATCTGCCTGCCAAGCGTGGCAACTACTTGCGAAACCTCCCAAGGGGAAGGCTTATGATCAGCAGTGGACAGTTAAAAGCTGATAATGATGATGATGAAAGATTTTTAAGCAACACAAGAGTTATTTAAACTATTAGTTGAATAAAATCCATTATTGTTAATATGTAAAAAATTCCATTATCAACGAGTAAAATTGGCTCTATTTTATAAAAAAAAAAACCTATGCGAAGCCGCGGTGTGTTGGTAGTAACATATAAATTATCATGTCACGATTTTCGTTCGCGCTAATCTCCGAAATTTCTCTAACGATTTTAATTAAATTTTGTACACGTATAGTGTTTGCTCCAGCTACATATATATATATATATATATATATATATATATATATATATATATATATATATATACACACACACACACACATAGGATCGTTATTGTCTTAATAAAAAAATCACCAAAGGAAGAATTTGTACGAGTACAAAGTCCTTTGCTTGAGTACCTCTGTTCCATTCGTATTTCTACCGTGAAACAGTTGCGTTTGCATGGCTGTGTTTCGATTTGAAGGGTGAATTGTGAATTTACAGGGTACAGAGGAATAACTCCCGAGTTCTCAGAAATGGCAACGCATGGGGGGAATCATGGGCGAAACAGTATACTCCGTTCTGTGCATGGTACTGCTCATGTCTATAGGCGACGGTTACCACTTTCCATCAGATGGGCCGTCAGCTTGTTTGCCATTCTAAGTTGCATAAAAAAAATCACCCAGTTGGTGGCGGTAGGGGACAAAACAACTGAGTTATCGAGGAGCTGATAAGATTACAGACGAGCGCTGAGAAACCTCATCAGTTAGTCGCCAGTGAATTACAATTATTATTTTTAATACCCGTGTCATCTAGTTTTTACTCGAGCAGCGCACAAATGACATCAGATTATCGCGTACCGACACCGGCCTGTAATTTGAACAGGTTTGACGTTACTGTATCACTATTATATCTGGCTCCAGTCAGTATAAATTTAATAGAACGCGCTTGAATTTTTATTTTTCTATATAACCTACTTTCCTCGCGTGAATTACAATTTAGTTAATTACATTTTAATTCGCATGAAAGTATTCCAAAATAGTAGTTAAGACGATACTGCGAAGCCACTTTTTAGACGTGTCTCTAAAATTAATATTTCAATTTGATAATTTCATGAAACTATTAATTTATTGACAATCTTATACTAAGTTAAGTTAGTTTAGTTAAGTTACCAGAGGAAGACTTTGTACAAAAGTCGATTGCTTGGCCACCTCTGTCCCATTCGTGTTTCAACCGTGAAGCAGTTGTGTCTGCATAGCTGTGTTTCGGTTTGAACGGTGGGATATGGCGTAAATTTACAGGGTACAGAGGAATAACACCTGAGCCCTCAGGAATGGCAACGCATGGGGGTATCACGGGCGAAACAGTATACTCTGTTATGTCCATGGTACTGCTCGTGTCTATATAGGCGACGGTTACCACTTTCCATCAGGTGGGCTGTCAGCTTGTTTGCCATTCTAAGTTGTATAAAAAAAACTAAGTTTAATATAATTGTAGTGACTAAGGATATTTATATTATTCAGTTACTAACCTCGCTTGCAGAAGGATTCTGATGAATCTTGCATCTTGATAGACAGAAGGAAACCAGTAAAACAACAATAACATACATTGTTAGTAATGCAGACTACATGTTCCATTGCTAGCAATATACTCTGTTACATCGACCTTCATGTGGTCCTCTCTGGAAACCATCGTGCTGAATTCCAGGTGTATTCACCACGATGGAGTGACTGACCTGCCTCTTCATTCTCACTTATCATACCTCAGTGATAACGTGGGTAGTAATACCATTCCATTATCATTAAAAAAAAAAACAAAGTACGAAACCAACTCCCAACAGAGCAGTATTTCAGAACCGATACAATATTAAATCCTTCAAGTATATAGCATACTCCTTCCTGACCGGCAACACACCTGTATTTCCCTAATGTAAGGCAGCAATAAGCAGTGTAAGGTAAGCCACATGCTAGTTCGGCCCCTGTGTTATAAAAATAAAAAAATCTAAAAGTTACGAAGTCGTCCGCTCAGTTACAAAATCAAATCTCTAAATTTCTACGATCGTTAAATCAAGAAACAGGTTGCTGGCTATCGACAACGAGTCCTTAATAGTTATTATTCTTCCCAACGCTCCTAAACTACTGGCGTCATATCTTACGGACTATTCATTAAAAACATTCGAAGTGCCAACTATCCAACTGAGCTTGGAACGTTGGAGAGTTCTTTTTTCATTGACCACGAGAGCTTTTTTTTTTTTTATTAGGCACGAGACGCTCTCTATAAATTTGAATTTAACGACTTTTTTTTAAATGTATTAAACTATTTAAGGCACAGAAACAAGTGTGGAATCTGTACTTTAAATGAAAACGTGCAATAAATATTTAAAATTTTATTTATTTATATTAATTTTATATTACCATGTCTTTACAGGATATATCCCAATACGACATGTTACAATAAACAACATTGGTTTAGATTTTACAATAACAAATAG